CTATTCACACCACAGAAACACGAAGGCACACCAGTGAGGCTGAGGTTGGGCTATTCACACCAAAGAAGCATGCATGCACACCAGTGAGGGTGAAGTTGGGCTATTCACACCACAGGGACACCAGTGAGGGTGAAGTTGGGCTATTCACACCACAGGGACACCAGTGAGGGTGAAGTTGGGCTATTCACACCACAGGGACACCAGTGAGGCGACAACTCCTTTTCTCCAACTAGTCAAAGAGGTTTTGCTCTCAAGATCCAAAGGTATGGCCACTGATCCAGAGGTGTAGGGCTCTCAGGAGTCCACTGAGTGAGTCCCTAACAGGGACTGTGGTTCCGAAAGAGCCCTGGCCACCGAGCAGGAGGAAGGAATCCTGCGGGAAGAGTGCTGGCCTAGGGACTGTCCCTGCCTCCAGCTGCAGACCTTGTTCCTGAAGAGTCCTAATTTTAGATCAAGGCTTAGTCCCAAGGGCTTAATCTCTGTATATATTTGTATCTGTAGCGTGACCCCTTTGTTCTAAGGCAGCTTTTTCTTCGGAGCCTTTGGCCTAGCGTTGGGTTTGTTTGCTTCTCTTCTTATCTTCTGCTACTGAGAGGCCCCCTGGCCAGCAGAACTGAACACAGCTTGCCCAGCAGGGTGGACCTGTGGTCTCAGCAAGGTCCTGGGCTCTGCTGGACCCTTCCTGTCCCTCAGGTTTTAGGGAGGGTGGGGAGGCCTTGATCTTGAGTCCAGACTGTTAGGGTCTGTGGGTGGTCTGGCTTCAAAGTGAGAACTCCTTATGATTTGCAAATGTGCCAGCCCAGGACTCTTCTGGAAGCTTCCTGGCCCCTCAGCAGAGCCTCTGTCTGAGGTCAGGGGCATCAACCAGGGAAGCATATAGCATGCACAGCATGTTCAGTGGTGTGAGCTGTGAACAAGCAGTCAAACCAAATGTTTGATGTCAGGCGAGGGGGCGTGGATAAAAAAGATAAAGAGACACACGCGGTGCCTGGTGCTGTGTGGGTAAAGGCACTCACGTAAGAATCACCCGTATTCTTATGATTCCTGTAGGCTTGTGTGTAAATACAGGTTGGGTATACACATCACATCCATTGTCAAAGGAGACTATGCTCCTGCTTGTGGTCTCAACAAAGTAGACTCATAATCAAAATGGAGTCAGTCAGGATACAAGGCCAACCTAAGCAACGCTCTTACCCCATTCTCAGAGAAATCAAGATGAGAGAGACAAAAGCCTCTGTCCTCAAACAAGTCTCTTCCTCCAATTGGAATGAAAATAGAATTCACACCTTTAATCTTAGCACTTGGGAGGCAGAGACAGACAGATCTCCAAGTTCTAGGCCTGCCTGGTCTACAGAGTGAGTTCTAGGATAGCCAGGGCTACACAGAGAAACCCTATCCAAAAAAAAAAAAAAAAAAAGGAA